TCACCTCTGTGCTGCTGGATAAAACGCAATGGGAGACGCCAGATGAGTTCAACCCCAACCATTTCCTTGATGCAGATGGGAACTTTGTAAAGAAGAAAGCGTTCCTGCCCTTCTCCACAGGTAACGAAAGCGTTTGATCCTGCATGAGGCACCGAGTTCTCAGTGCCCCTCAGAAGATATTAGCCAAGTGGCAGGATCCAAGCCTCTGTTGGGAACAGCACAGAGATCAGTGGTGGGGATGGCTTAGAAATACCCGCCCTGGGTTTTGATGACTTGCAAACAGCCCCTCAGCCCACACTGGGAGGCACACCGGGTCCTGGTGTTTAAAGACACCCCTGGGACCTACAGAAGACTCAACGCCTTCAAGCAAGAGTTCAATCTTCCCTCTGTCTTGGGAAGGCCAGTTTCTAGGGTGTCCCAGATCAATTCCTTGCAGACTCAGAGTGAAACAGCCCTGTTCAAATGCCTGTAGGAGACCAACGGTGATGGCTGCTGAATATCACGCCACACTATTTTGCATTTCTGAGGCCTATGCTGTCCCTCACACTGTTGCTACCAAGTAGTAGGGAAGAAGTGTCGGGTTGAGCCACCACTTACCCAATCACTCCACCAACAGCATTCTTTTGGCATTGCAGGGCGGAGAAACTGCATTGGAGAAAGTCTTGCCACGATGGAGCTCTTCATCTTCTTCACAGGCTTGATCCAGAAATTCACTTTTAAGCCTCCACCTGGGGTCAAAGAATCTGAGCTGGACACGACTGCAGAGGCTGGATTCACCATGAGACCCCATCCGCAGTGTGCCTGCGCTGTGCTACGCCAATAAGCCCAAGGCTCTGAACTGAGAAAAATCCACATAATTGTTTTGTGCAGAGCCTAGCGGATGCACGAAGGAGAAACCAGATCCCTGTGCAGCAGATACAAGTAGTGTCTTCTTACTCAAAGCCTTGCAAGTACTGGCTGTATGCTTAAAATATCTGTTGAACAAATATTTTTCTAAGAAGCAGAGGAGGGCTGGTGGGTAAGGGTAACTGGAAAATTCCAGCCAGATACATGACTGGAAATGACAGGACAGCCACTACTTTACACATCAAATACACAACACAAGAAAGTTATTCTAGTTCTGAGCTTCTGGGAGAGGATGCTTCTCGAGAGTGGATCATTTCTTCACTTGGAGAGCAATATTAGATACAAATCTTGGTCATTGTCTAATCCCTGCTCTTTTCCCATTCTCTACTGCACACGGGATAAATTATTCCCAGATACCTGCTCTTTCTGTGTGTGATGGATGCTCTTCCAACACTTTCCAGACTTCTGGTTTGAATCCCAGATGCCAAATGCTGGACTTCTTAGGTTCCCCTTGCTCTGAGGGTACAGGCTCTGGTACACCTGCACTGATGTGGGACTTAACAGCTCTCCCCAGACAAGTGAAGACACTCCCCCCCACTACATTTTTGCAAAGGTAGCTCAAATACATAAGCACAACTTCTCTTCAGAGCACCACATGTGAACAAGCAAGCATGCAAACATTGCAAAGATGCTTCTAAAATGTTCTTTCCTTAAGCAGCATGGAAGCTGGGCAGATCCAGGCAAAGTGACAGAAAACCTGTCCATCTCCCCTTTCCTTACTTCTCCCAGCTTTCTGTGAGACATTCCCATCTCTTCTCTGAGATGACTAGAGATGGATCCTCATCACATCCCCTCATCAGTGAAAGCAACAGGAGTCTTTTACAGCAGCTGGCTTCTTCCTTGGTCTGAAATGCTGAGTGAAGGAGCTGATAGGACTGCAATGGGAGATGGGTTGAGCCATTGTCCCACAAAGTGTTTGAGCCGGTTAACCCCTGGGAGAGATCCTAGTCTGCTGTAGGATGGGGAGGAGAAGACTCCTCCTGTTCCCTGCATACTACCTGATTCTTCCAGGTTAATGGTAAATATATAGTGCATATGTCTTTGCTCCCAGCCTTCCTCGCTTGAATGCAGTTGGACTTGGGGTGCATAAAGCCTCTAGGCTTAGCTCTGCCCTCCTCATACAGCCCGAATTTGTGGCTGGCAGGGCGTTTTACCCCAGTAAGGACTGCAGGGCTGGGCTGTGTGTGACTCAGAGGGATCGTGGTGCCATCTTGTGGGAAAAAGAAAATTGAAATTATATTCTGCACAATGCTTATTGCTCTGGCCAGTGCACAGAGGGGCTGCAGATACAAGGCAGCCCTCATTTTACAAATCTTTACAGTTGCTGCAATCCTTGCACCTGATCATTGCCCCTCTGAGAGGAGGAACCCCTGGTCCCAGCATCATGCAGCGCTAGGGATGGCAGGCTGGGCTATGGGACATGCTGCCCAGCCAGCTGCATGTGGCATGAGCCACAGACACAGTGTGAGTTGGATTTGTTCAGATCTTACTTTAAAAATCAAGCCACCTGTCCTGCCCTGAGATGTTTGCCTTCAATTCAGGCCAGTGTGTTGCAAGGCACAAACGTATTTTGCAGCTAGAGGGAAGACCCTCAGCACCACTGAGGAATGTGGAAATGGCATTTCCACCCCTAAAAGCCAATGTTTTCCGCTAGATAAATCTGTAGCTGAGTCATAATCAGTGTTCTGCCATCATTTGGCTGAACAAATAAATGGGAAGCAGGCACTTTCTTTTGCGGAGATATATTCAGCTGTCTAATTCAGTGTGCTGGGGAGTGATCACTTCCATCCATCTGCTAACACAAGCACAAGCAGGATGCACTTTTCAAAGGAATCAGAGAAACCTGTTTTCCTTCAATGTTTGCACCTGGTAGCTCATGGCTCTTGTTGAAGCACGGGTATTGCGCAGTCTGCTGGATTTCTGTACATGGCCAGCACTGCCGCAGGCTCTGCTCTGTCTGCCGGAGAGTGCCAGTGCAGAAAGTGGTGTCAAAAAAGAGCAGGCTCTGAAGGCTGCTATGCCATGTAGGAAGGGATCCATCTCTCACTTTCGAAGCCAAGACTGCAAGAGCCCATGGCAAGGGAGCAGGTCTGAGCTTCCACCAGTGAATTCATGCAGATTTGAACCCAGCCCAGTTTTGTCCCCTGGAGCACTAGATTGTTGCCATATCTGTCTTTTGAGTTCATATTACTTTTGGAGGGGGCTAGAGCAGGAACAGTCCTGGCCTCTCTGAACCCAAAGGCAAAAGTCTTTTATTCCAGCAAGGCCAAGTCTTCCTTCATTGAGTTGATATGTGGCTTGCTCCTCAGTTGCTTTACCTGTACCTGAAGAAGACCCCATCCTGCTGCCACCACTCCTCAAGAGTGACATTGCCAGCAGGTGATGCTTTGGGAGAACAAGAGGTGAGGGGCTCAGGGTCCAAGGCACTAAGCAGAGGGACAGCATCAGCATCAGTGAAGCTGTGGTGGGAACCTTTCATTCAGCCTCTGCAAGGAAGAGGCAAAGACAAAAAAAGTGAAAAACCAAGGCTATCCCCAGGACTGACTAGTAGCCCATAGCTGAGGACAAAGGGAAAGCTCTTTGCCCTGGAAAATATACTCTGCAGATATGGAGAGTCTCCTCTTGAGCTGTTTTTTAAGTAGGATCAGGGTATGCGGAGCCTGTGAGATACAAATAAAACGTAAAATATTCGTTGTCACTCTGGGCCCAGGATCAACCTTTCATGGCATTTGCATTTCTGTGTAATGCAAAGTTGGGTGGCAGGCATATGACATATAATGAAGACATGGGATTAAAACTTTATTGAGTTCCCATGAAGGGGGGAACAAACAATATGATAAAGCACATGACAAGATAATGCATATGGAGAAGTGGCAATTCACAGGCAGATAAGTGGATAAAAAAATTGCCTGAGCTATACATCAACTGGAATAAGATTGAAGAATATGGTGGCAGATAAGAGTGCTACAGCCAGGGACAACAGCCAGACAAAGCTACAGAGGAAAGGAAAACAACCAAAACCAGGTCTCGTCTAATCCCTGATCCCAATTCTCCTTGTGTGTGTGCGTGTAATACAAGCATTGTGAAATTAGACACCATTTGCAAGGAAATTGCATGGCTGGTTCCAATGGCCAGACCATCCCAAATACCATACTGACTGCTGATGTTGGCTCTTAACATTACCCAGGAGGTCTGAAGGGAGGAACAGTGTTTGCTCCTATTTAACAAGGTCAGAAAAGACAGAGATCCATAAACCTAGAAATGGGTCTAGTTTATTTTTCTGTATCATTAACCTTTTATGATCAGTTGCTCGTACAAATCTCACGTGGCCTTATGATTTAGACTGCAAACTTAGAAGTGTAGATCTTGTTTCATTCAGACTGTGAAGCAGTGTTGAACTTGGTGCTAGCAGCCCTTGCTTATCTTAACAGGTTTGCAGATTCTGGGGTATCTTTTAAGACACTGTTCCAAGGCAGAAATAACTTCATCCTCAAGTCCCATGATTCGGTCTGTTCTTTCACTCTCAGTGTTTGACCTGGCTGCCTAGGCTGGTAGGATTTTGCCAGAAGCTATGGGTAATTAGAGAGCTTGGAAAAGTTCAGGAGGTACCTACGGATGGTTCAAGTGTGTGACTCACAGTGTATTTCTGTGGCTTCCAGCAAACGGCAGTGCGTCTTTCCTCAGGATTTCGGGCAGATTTCTGTGACATTATGAACCTCACTGCTTTGCCATGGGAGCCTGGGTGTCACACCTACTGCTCATGGGCTGCATCCCCTTCACCAGATCACCTCCTTGGCCCCTCTATCAGCTCCATGCACAGTCTGTCTTGAGAAAAAGTGTGTGTATGTCAACCACAATCATGGTTTCTAATTGATCATATGCACCTCCTCACAGCACGGGAGCAAAGAGGGGCTCAGCAACCTATGGGGCAGAGGTAGCGGTGGAAAGCAGTGGAGTGGAAGTGGATGGAGACAGTGGGAAGGGGATGTGAAACAGGGTGATGTGGCAGGATGGGGGGTGGCGAGTCCTAGCATAGCTAAGTTTGGTCTAAGCAGCTTCCCCACTTGTTGGGTTGCGCTTCAGCAAGGCTGTGGTTATTCACGCAGGACAGCACAGGTTGCCTGAGGCTGAGGCCTTAATGTGAAAGTCGTCTGGGGGACGGTAAGGTCCAAGTCAGACTCTGAAACTCCTGGCTGGGGTTGAAAAGTAAATGTCTGCAACAACCCTACAAAGAAGACAAACAGTTCCATCTTGGCGAGGCTTTCTCCAATGCAGTTCCTTCGCCCTGCAGATGAAAGCAGTGTGTTTACTTGATGGAAAGATCAAACTAGAATATTTGCCATGGACACATTAGCATCTGAGATGTGGCAACGGAAGCAGGAGTGAAGCCTTGACATGCACGAGAGCATTTTGAAGCAGAGGAGCCCGTGTTGCTAAAGGTAGCTGTCCCAGTCACACTGGCCCAATGTGCCTGCCTGGTCTCTTTTATCCCCCAGCCACCTGCAGCAGCAAGTCACAGCCATGTTACAGGGTTATTGTGCATTTATGACATACCCTCTCCTCTCCTTAACTCTTCCAACCCTCTCAGCATCTTTAACCCTTTCTCTTTAAAAAGCAGCCTGATAAAAAAATGCCACCAGCTCCCAAAGCGGAATGGTTTGAAACTCACTTTTCCTGTGGAATTTATCCTAACATCCCACTTTTACAAAAGACTGTGTTTCTTCTTTCCTTCCCCCTCTTTGTGTAAGATTCCCAGCCCTTGCATGATGGTCCCTGTGCGGGTGAAGCACTTGGTGGACAGTGAGAACTGGCTTCCTAACATCAGAAGTCACTGCTGAGGGGCTGTGGTTGGAGCATGTTCTGGAATCCCTTCAAGCCATCCTTTCAGAGGAACAGCTGGAAAGTGTAAGGTTGCACGGGAGGATTTGTAGGATTCTGCAGGAGATCTCCCGTTATGGTACTTACGGGCTCCTGCAGTGCTGGGATTTGTTAAACTCCCACCAAGAGTGCTCCATCCAGCTGTGCTCTCTCATAATGCACCTTGCTGCAGCCATGGAGGGCATGGGCTGGGGGCAGGCATTTCTGGAAATGAGCAACCTTTAGAAGCATTTATGGCTGTTGGGAAGGCAATGCGTAAGTGATATTTCTTCTTTTAGGATGGTTCAGGGGAGAGTTTCTGATATCTAACAACTGTTCCTACCATTAGCTCAGTTTAAGTCCCCAGGGTGTTGGGTTTATGAGCGTCCAGGGAAAGAATGTTAATCATATTTTGCAGGTGAAACTAAGATTAAAAAAATAAAATAAAAAGTTTGTGACTTGACCAAAATGACAGATGGAGCAAGTGCTCTATCACTTCCCCTAACCACGGGGCTGTTCTTCCTCTGAAAAGTCTTGCTGGGAATCCTCGGGAGCTCTTAAAAGTGCCAGTGGAAGAATCACCGTCCAAGGTGATTTTGGGGAACAATCCAGGGCCTTGGATTTAAGATTTCACAGTGACAGTAATATGGTTTGGTGTACTCTGTCCTATATTGGGTCTCTGCTGGCTGTAATACCCAGCCAAGGTGCAAGGCTTATTGGGACTCTCCTCCTTAGCTCTCATGGGCAATGGATGAGGCCTTGTCGAGACCCATTGACACGTGGGACTTGCCTCAAGACAGGACTTGAGGGTCCCTAGATTGTACCCTCACTTCCAGGAGAGCTCATGAAACCCCGTGCATAGCTATGCCGGCAGCCCCACCAGTCCTGTCTGGTTATCCACCTATTCCTGACAGCTTTGAGGCATTTTTCCACCTTCTTTTGGATGCAATATATCTCTCTGTGTTCTTTCCTGTTGAACCTTTGGGAACCAACCCCTTCAGTGGTGGGAGAGGTGTGCTCTGAGAGTAGCCATTTGCCTGGATGCAGAATAATTGACTCCATTCAGTTGCCTGGTTGCTTATTAACCGAGTTAAATGCAGTACTTAGCCATGAAGACCTCATTAGCGTATATTGTAAAAGATATAAAATGGTCCTGCCATAGCTTCAGCTCTGTGCAGATCAGCCCTTTAGTTACCTGTGGAGAAGGGCAGGAAAGCCTCTCTCTTTACAAAATTCCCTTCAGCGTCAAGGAAGTGGTTGGGGTTGAACTGATGTGGTGTCTCCCATTGCGTCTTATCCAGCAGCACTGAGGTGAGCGATGGGATTACAATTATACCCTGGAAGAAAAGAACATGAAGACACAAAAGATAGCAAAAGTGCTCTGTTTTGGTTCATTTTGTGACACAGATGTTGGTGTCCCAGGAGATTTGCTCCACCTGGGGTAGGTGGAGACCCTGAGGGTTTTATCCCATCAGCCAGTAGAGAGAGAAGTCAGTGAGATTTTCCCAGCAGTGCCAAGGAATGAAGCCAAACCCCACATGGCGCTGTGAAAACCTCAAGCAGAGGGTCAGATCCTGTAAATTCCCTGGCAGATACTTCACTGTGCAGATGGCATCAAGGAGGTAAACCAGGGTTGCTTGTGCAGTGAGGAAGTCCTGAGCATGAGAGGGACTGAATTGAATCCTACAATACCAGTCTCTCTGGACTCAACATTAGTCACTGGAGAGGAACAAACTCTTCTGGGGGTCATTTTGGACGCTTACTTTGGGCTTCAGTCCTATAATTCCCTCTGAAGAAACCAGTCTTTAATGGCACTCGCAAAAGTGAGGTGGTGTGTTCCTGGGCTGGAGCAGTTACCTACCTTGGGAAGGAAGTAGCCCCTGAAGTGGGTGTCAACAGCAGTGCAGCGGGGAACGTGGGGCAGGAGGGGGAT